CCCCATGTGGGACTCAATCCCAGGACCCTGGGATTGCGACCCGAGCCGAAGGCAGACGCCCAACCAACTGAGCCAACCAGGTGCCCCTGGCTCTGGGTACTTTAAATATTTTTTACTTTGTGTTTAGTTTTTAGCAGTTTTACGATCATGTGCCTTAGAGTCCTTATCTTTTTATTTATCCCATTCAGATTCACAGGGCTTCTTGAATCTGTGGTCTATTATTTTTTGAAAGTTTTGGAATGTTTTCAGTCATTATGCCTTTAAATACTCCTGTCCCATCATCTCTTTTCTCCTTCTGTTACTCCCTTATACATGTTAGACCTCTCATTATGTCCCTTATTTCTCTTCTATTCTGTTTTTTCCGTTTTTCCTCTATGCTTCATTCTGGATATTTTCTGATCTATTTTCAATGACTAGTTCTCTTCAACTGTTCCTAATCTGCTGTGGTTATACCTTCCAACTGAGTTCTTAATTTTGATTGTTGTAGTTTACTTTTAGAGTTTTCATTTGGTCCTTTTTATTGTCTCCAGTTCACTTCTAAAATTCTCAATTTTGTCTCATTTCTTTAAACAAATTGAGCATTTAAAATCTATGTTTAAAAAATTCCACTATCTAGAATCTGCCAATTGTCTATACTTCCTTTTGGTTTTTGTTAGGTTATCTTGCCTCCTCTCGTGTCTGAGGTTTAAAATTGAGTGTCAGGAGGTGCCCTGGGTGGCTCTCAGTTGTTGGGCGTCTGCCTTCGCCTCGGGTCATGATCCCGGGTCCTGGGGGGGCTCCCTGCTCAGCGGGAAGCCTGCTTCTCCCTCTTGCATTCCCCCTGCTTGTGTTCCCTCTCCTGCTGTCAAATAAATAAAATCTAAAAAAAAAAAAGAAATAAAATTGCGTGTTAGACACTGTATATTAAGAAGTTTAGAAATAATTTGAGGCCTAGCATAGTGTTATATTCCACTAAGAAGAATATTTACTTCTGGTGGGCTACTTAAGGGTCTCAAGTTTTATAACCACCCTAATTCCATTTCAGACATGAGAGAATTTGAAGCTGGGCCACTGTTGCCTTTTGGGGTTCCAGCTCAGAGCATGGAAGGTTTGCCAGCTTCCCCTAACCCTTGGTGGTCTCTGGACTCTAATTTTTGTCCTCCCTCTCCTTGTATACCTTTCAGGAATGCCACTCAGTTTCTCAGCTACCTTTTCTGGAAGTGTGGAAAACCCCTCAAGAAAAAAGCAATGCTAAATGCCAGATTCCCCCTTCTGAGTTTACTTCTTTTCCCAGATTCTATCTATCTATAATTCTTTAAGATCTAGTTAATGCTCTAGTGTCTTCAAGCGGGTTATTTTTATATTTTATTCCAGAGGAAATAGTTGTTGTCAACTATTTGGATTAGAAAGGTTAATCCAAATTACCTAGTCTACCATTACTAAAAGCAGAAGCCTTAAATTTCCCCCAAATTCCATATTCAAATTCCATTTGGAGAATCTGTTTCCTTCTCTCTTTTTAAATTGGGTAAATGTCACATTTTTTTTTAATGTTTTATTTATTTATTCATGAGAGTCAGAGAGACAGAGAAAGGCAGAGGCAGAGGGAGAAGCAGGCTCCCGGCCTAGCAGGAAGCCCGATGCGGGGCTCGATCCCAGGACCCCGGGATCACGACCTGAGCCGAAGGCAGACGCTTAACCATCTGAGCCACCCAGGTGCCCCGGTAAATGTCACATTTACCCAGTTCTGTCACTAGGATGAAAACGGGGAATGAGGAAACAGACACTGAATCAATTCCTCTAAGTGGTGCACCTCACTTCTGCATTCCTCCATCAAATGTGCAACTCTGGGCCTGGAGCCTCTTTAGGGTTCCAACGTGCAGACTCAGCCATGTTCCATCTCAGCCGTGTTTCACCCAACATGGACAATTTTTAAAATCTTGCATACATTATTAAACAGTCTGCTTCCATTATTTTATTTATTTATTTGTACATCTTATTTTATGGGAAATTGTAGGGGATAGGAAGAAAACATGTTTTCAGCCTACCACCTTAAACTAGAAGTTTCATTAAATCTTTAAAATGTTCATATACTTTGACCCAGCCACTCTTTTTTAAGATTTTATTTATTTATTTGAGAGAGAGAATGAGAGAGAGAGAGAGCATGAGAGGGGGGAGGGTCGGAGGGAGAAGCAGACTCCCCACTGAGCAGGGAGTCCGATGTGGGACTCGATCCCGGGACTCCAGGATCATGACCTGAGCCGAAGGCAGTCGCTTAACGACTGAGCCACCCAGGCGCCTGCCATTCTACTTTTTAAGAATCTATCTTACAGGGGTGCCTGGGTGGCTCAGTTGTTAAGCGTCTGCCTTCGGCTCAGGTCATGATGCCAGGGTCCTGGGATCAAGCCCCACATCGGGCTCCCTGCTCAGCGGGAAACCTGCTTCTCCCTCTCCCACTCCCCCTGCTTGTGTTCCTTCTCTCGGTGTCTCTGTCAAATAAATAAAATCTTAAAAAAAAAAAAAAAAAGAATCTATCTTACAGACACAGACAAATGCACAGAACTATACAGATGAGGATATTTACTATAGCACCATTTTGTTTTTATTATTTTTAATATTTATTTATTTATTTAAGTGATTTCTACACCCAGTGTGTGGCTCAAATTCATGACCCTGAGGTCAAGCTAGTCAGGCGCCCTACTCTAGCACTATTTCTTTCTTTCTTTCCTCCTTTCATTCATTCATTCATTTAAGACTCCATTTATTTATTTGAGAGAGAAAGAGCGAGAGCACAAGCAGGGGGAGCAGCAGAGGGAGAGGGAGAAGCAGACCCCCGCAGAGCAGGGAGCCCGATGTGGGACTTGATCCCAGGACCCTGGGATCATGATCTGAGCCGAAGGCAGACACTTAACCGACTGAGCCACCCAGGCGCCCCTTTAGCACTATTTTACAAAAATAATGAAAATAACTCAAATACCTATTAATAAACTAAATTACGGCACAATACAGAAATTTTTAAAGACTGAATTAAGTTAATATAATGACAGAATTAAATTTTTTTAGAAAATAATTTTCAAAACCATATAGGACAGTACACGCATAGAAGAAGAAGTCCATATGCTTAACATATAAACATTTATAGCATATACTAAGCTAAGTAACATTCATCTATGGGGAAGGCACTATAAAGAACTGTTGTCATCAGTCTTACAATATTTGAATTTTTATAATGGGAATTGTTTTTAATCATAAATAAAACAAGTAATAAAACATATCAAGCCATCTAGACTTCTACAAAATTCTCACATGCCAAGAGCCGAGCCGACATCAAATCAGGCCTCTATTCAAAGTAGGTAATACTTGGGGCGCCTGGGTGGCTCAGTCATTAAGCATCTGCCTTCGGCTCAGGTCATGATCCCAGGGTCCTGGGATTGAGCCCCACATCGGGCTCCCTGCTCCGCGGGAAGCCTGCTTCTCCCTCTCCCACTCCCCCTGCTTGTGTTCCCTCTCTCACTGTGTCTCTCTCTCTGTCAAATAAATAAATAAATAAATCTTAAAAAAAAAAAATGTAGGTAATACTAACCAGGCTAAGTCAAGCCCAGTACTTTAAGGTGTGGAACCCAGACACAGGGCAAAGTCCTAGCTAGTGATACGAAAGTGACAATAATTAGACTATGCATACAGATGAAAGAGATGATAAAATGATCAGAAGAGATCATTGCTGGGGAGCAATGAAAAGACACAGAGAAAATGGTAGAAGTAGAACTGCTGGAAATCAAGAAAGGAATTAAGAGTCCAGTAGGAAAGAAGCAAATATATACATTTTTATGTTTAGGGTGTATAATGGCAATACATTATGGCTAACTTTTTGCTATCTTTGATAGTCTGTGTATCTGTCAATACTGTTTTCATATTGTGCCTAAATGAGTTGAGCTGGGACCAAGAAGCCTGTTTTGTTTGTTTGTTTTTAAGCAGGCTCCACGTCCAGCTTGGAGCCCTATGTGGGGCTTGAACTCATGACTCTGCAATCAAGACCTGAGATCAAGAGTCAGGCACTTAACCAACTGAGCCACCCAGGCACCCCAAGAAGCCTGTTTTGGTATCTGTACTACTAAATAGCAGGATGATCTTAGGCTGAAATTCCTTGACATCTTTGGTCTTCCAGTTTCCAATTCCATACAATGGAGGTTCAAATTAGAAAATTCAAAGTCAAGTTCAGATAAAATTCCATCATCCTAAAAGAAGACCGTTCCTCTTTCAGCTAGGCATCCCTTATCCACCTCTTGGCCCACCCGCACTAGAGATGACTGATGCTATGACTCCCTAGTCCTGCGTTCAAGGCAGATGTTGGTAATGAGCTATAGCGCTTGCCCGGGTCTAGCGAATGAGTTCTCTCTTACTTTCAAATCTCCATGTGGCCATTTGCAATCACTTGGAGACGGTACTTGGGATGGAATCTATTTGCCATCCTACAAATCCATAAGCAAGTTATGACTTTCAGTACAATTCAAAAACTTTCTTAGTGAATATTTTCTACATTAAAAAAAAACTCTGATAATTCTCTCCTATGACTAAAATTGACTGTCGTATTTTTGGACTGACTAGATTAATAGAATAGGATATAAAGCACTGTCAAGATTACCTGAATGTGCCAACTTATATATTTCTTGATTTATTTATTCTGAATCACTTTTAATAACCTCTGTTAACATGACTCCCTTAGTCAAGGCACCAGGGCTAGGATTCTACGTTCACACAAACTGTCAAGAACCCAGCCCACTCATTAATCCTATCCAACCAGAGAGTCAGTGGCATAATGAGGTCTGGGATAATGAACTGTACTGCACTGCTAATTTACTTAGCATGTGTTCGGTATAACAAGAGAATAAAGATAGCAAATGAGGATTTAAAAATAACATTTTTATCATTTATCTCAAGGTTTTCTTCCATAAAATATTTTTAATTCGTTAGAGAAGTCCACGCCATTTTAAAAGTAGACAAAGAAAAAAGAGAAATGTCCTTACCAATTTTTCTGCTTCTGTGTTCATTTCCCTTAATTTTTTGATATGTTCCTTTTTAATCATGAGAATTTTTGATAATTTGGTCTACAGACAAAGAAAAAGAGATGTTTTGGAATAGAGGCCTTTAGGTATAACAAACATCAAATTACCAATTTTTCACTAAGATATTTTAGCAGATTTTAGTGTTTCAATATAAATAAACATAGCACAGGCATGTTAAAAAATAAATCTGACTGGCTAGCAGAAAAATATTTTCTTAAAATCCACTGTAACCAGAACATGTCAAAAGGACCCAGGAGTCAGTCTGAACAAGCTTTCACTGGCCCACGTGGGACCATTCAGGGACCAGTAAGAACAACCACTGGGATGGACCGAAGTACAAATATGTTCAAATTAACGAGTTCATACAGACACTTTAAAAAAATTAACCATTACTGGAGAATGCCAGTGACCAAACTCATTATTTTATAAGCTGGACGGCAAAGAGAAAGAATCACGTGTTTATCCTGCCTTTCCTACACAAACTATACCATTAGGTAACCAGATAATAGGTTAGGGGAAGCTTTTCTTTATAAAACTGTTTCCGGGGCACCTGGGGCCTCAGTCAGTTAAGTGTCCGACTCTTGATTTCTGCCGGGGTCATGGGATCAAGTCCCGAGATAGGCTCTGTGCTCGGGGCAGAGTCTGCTTGAGATTCTCTCTCCCTCTACAACCCAACCCCCACTCTCTCACTCTAAAAATAAATAAATAAATAAATAAATCTTAAAAAAAGAGACTATTTCAGTTAGTAAATAGGAATGATAGAACAAGAACAGTGCCATTTCACAATCCTAATGAATGGCTGGATCTAGGCACTGATAATCAGTGGCAGCTAAGTTTATATAAAAAACATAAAATAGCATGGGTCTATCAGAACACAAAACCTCCTATAAAAGTAGTTACATAAAATAAATAACCAACAAAATAAAAACCCCAAATCTAATCAAACTTCTGTATCCAATGAGCAATTTACATGAAATACAAAAGATAAAAGAACACATTGAATGATACCACAAGGATTCAGTCAGTAAAACCCACTGTCAGAGACTCTTTGGACAAATAATCCAGTTTCTCAAATAAGTTGTACAGGGAAAAGAGCATTCAATGGTTAAGAGACAACTAGAAAATTTGAATGCTGACTCAACATTTGATGATATTAAGGCAGTTCTGTTTACTTTTTAGATGTAATAATGGTATTATAGTTATTTTTCTTTTTTCCTTTTCTTTTTTTTAAGTAATCTCTACACCCAACGTGGGGCTCGAACTCACAACACGAGATCAAGAGTCGCATGCTCCCCTGACTGAGCCAGCAAGGTGTCCCTTAGTTATGGTTCTTAAAAAAAAAAAAACCCTTATCTCTTAGAGATATGTAATAAAATATTTACAAATAAATGATACAATGTCTGGTATTTGCTTCCAAATAATGCAAAAGGGAGAAAGTAGGGGGAAGGACAGATTAAATAGGCCTGACCAGGAGTTTGCTGAGAACATGTTCTAGCTCGATGATGGGTACACAGAGGAGCAGTCAACAATTCTGTCTGCTTTTATGTGCTTTAAATTTTCAATAATAAAAAACCCTAAGAATTGGCCTAAGTTGATACAGGCAGAGGGCCTAGTTAGTAAGATATGCCCCATACTTGTTATGGAACAGACTGTAGTTAGTGCTCAGCAGGCCCAGAGCTGGGGACAGGTCTCCCTTCTCTTATAAATTGTTGGATTTTTATGGAAATATGTGTCATTCTTTAGAGATGGAAGCAGTACAAGATGGGATGAAGACAACTGTTCTTTTTTTGTTTCTACTTAGCGTGGTGTTGCTTGTTTCTGATAAAAAATCTCAGCTGTTTCCTTTTCATTCTTTTCAAAACTGAGTCGTCTTGAAGAAAGCTGATCAGTCTCTTTAGATTCCTCAAACTCCCTAACCCCAGGAAATAAAAAGTTTCCTCAAGAAGAAAATTCATTGTAAACTATGAATTATGAAATTTGCAATTTTTTTTTTGAGGGTAAGCAGGGGCAGAGGGGGGAGTGGAAGAAAATCTTAAGCAGGCTCCCTGCTGAGCACAGAGCCAGACACAGGGCTCAATCTCAAGACCCTGAGATCCTGACCTGAGCAGAAATCAAGAGTCTGATACTTCTCTGACTCAGCAACCCAGGCGACCCGAAACTTGCAAAAAATTTTTAATACTTCTTTTGTCACAAGGAAAAAATATTAAGAACAGAAAAAGTGAGTTTAAGTCCCATGTTGGGTATAGAGCTTACTTAAAAAAAAAAAGAAACCACACACACACATCTACTTCAAAGCTTAATATTAACAAGAGCAACTTGAGTTTCATAAAACCTTACATATTATAAAAGACAAGTACATAAAAGAACTTTTATTTTTACCTCTTAGATAGCTTAAAACAATAATGAAAGTAGTGTTTTAACTAGGCTTTATACCCAGTTTTTGAAGTTAAAATTAAGCACTGAAGCCAAATATTTCAGCATCGGTAAAAATATTAGTACTTCAGAGGTACTGTAGTAGTAATTAGCTTCTGGCTCCCTCTGCTGGTGTCTCTCTCTCTCTCTCTCTCTCTCTCTCTCTTTCTCGCTCGCTCTCTCTCTCTCTCTCTCTCACACACACACACACACACACACCCAAATAGGTCATATTAGCTTTGTTTTTACCTCTATTATTTAAAGGAAAGTATTTCTTTAAAAAACAAGTGTCCTATTTGTGAAGAGGATAAAGTTTGGCTCTGTTCATAATTTCAACTTTTCATCTAAAAATATCTATCTTTGAAAGCCAAAAGGCAAAAGAAATTCTGCATTGCAAGGATAACCACTAACGTATGATCAAGGAATACAAAATGCTACACATTTGCAACTAAATGATAAAATATTTCCTTAAAATAACATCAACTGCAAGTGGTAACACTGAATATTTTAATGGATTATATTATAAATATTTTTATTTATACTCTTACCCCAAGCCAAAGCAGTTTTTCTCTTCAAAACAGGAAAAGAAATGAAACATTATTAGACTATGATTCAAAGTAAATGATTGATTTAATCTAATTTTCAAAGTGAACAGCTCATTACATTCTGATGAGTCAGCCTCTTCAGGAATATTGTTCTACATAATAATTCTACACTTGTTTCAGGTGAGGCTTATATTTCTCAGTGTCTATCACTAGTTAGCAAGCCAGTGCATTGTAACTGCTCAGTTGACTGATAATTGCAGGACGCACTGAGGTCACTAAAAAAAGGCCTTTGTACTTACACAAGTTATTAACAGCTAACCATTCAGGTTTGACAGAGTATATGCTGTAATGTTAGAGTCCTTAACATAGCAAAATAAGAACCAAACCCAAGAAGAGCTCAACGAAAAAAACCTCTGTCTTTTTTGGCTGTTATAACTTTTATTTCCTTAAGGTTACTTTATTTTTATTAATTTTTTTTTTTGATTGAGAGAGAGCACAAGTGGATGGGAGGGGCAGAGGGAGAGAGAGAATATCAAACAGATTCCCTGCTGAGCCTGACACAGGGCTTGATCTCACAACCCTGAGATCATGACCTGAGCTGAAATCAAGAGTCAGATGCTCAACTGACTGAGCCACCCAGGTACCCTTTTATTTTCAAGCTTTGCTGGAAATAACAGGGTTCTTAAAACGAACACAATGATTAAAAAAAAAAAAAGGTAAAAATATTTGGTCAGAAAAATTTTCAATTTTAATTAACACAAAAGATGTTGAGTTTTCTTCATAAGCAAGCCAAGATAGTGAGAGCAATTCTTACCACTTGGATAAGGAATTCTACTGGAAAACCACCTAACGTTTCAGTGTCAGAGCCAGAAATTTTACTTCTCCAAGGTGACTGTCCTAGTAAAGGATCATTATCCTATGGGAATAAAAGGGAAATCATTTAACCACTGACTGTTCAAAAGAAAGTATTTTATTTTTAGATAAAAAGTAAATCCGATTCTAATTAATATTACATTAAAAATCTTACAAAAAGGAAAATATTTCCAGAGTTGCAACGATTTACTTATTTTATTTAGTAACTGAGAACTTAAAATAATGTAGCTACCTCCTGAAGTTGCTGTAATAGATGTGTATTTCATAAAAACATTACTCACGCTCATAATAATCATTTAAATTACTGCCGACATTTAAAAAATAGTATTTACTGTAATGGGTGACTGGAGAGGGGGAGTATAATGTAGCCGTGGTGGAGTCAGGAAGAATCGAGAAGGCCGCTGTTTTTGTCCAAAGGCAGCAATTGGCATCGTCTCATGAGGCTCATTACTCTTTGAGAAAAGAGAAAAGTCCACAAGTCTTGAAGAACTTTACCGACCATCTGAGCTTTACAAACATGATACTGCAGCTGGAGATAGGCACCAACTCATGAGCTATGATTTATCACAGAATCTATTATCCTACAAAGGTCAAAGGCCTAAAACGTAAGTCAGAATATGAAAATACTACTTCGCTATCAAAGGCTGAACTCACAAAACAGAAGAATTAAGAAAAGAAAAAGACCACTGGATTGAAACAGGAAATCAAAGATTAATTTTTTTTAAGATTTTATTTATTTATTGGAGAGAACAAGCAGGAGTGGGAGGGAAGGGCAGAGGGAAAGGGAGAAGCAGGCTCCCCGATGTGGGGCTCGATCCTAGGATCCTAGGATCATGACCTGAGCCGAAGGCAGATGCTCAACCGACTGAGCCAACCAGGCGCCCTGAAAGATTAATCTTCAAGTGTCCTATGACTATCGGTGCTTGCTGTGTGCTAAAAGCTGGCTCAATATTACCTACTGCACTTACAGTGCACTCTTACCTAGCTGTAGAGGAATATCTGGATGATCTCATAAAGGAAATTACGTTAATGAACTGGAAAAGCAGTTTTCCTTTCCTGACAGGGGAGGTTGAAAGGTTGCATCCTTTAAGGAAAAACACTTAAGGTTGGTATACTTTGGTCTACAAATGTAGTCCAAATTTTCTTTCTCTTCTATTTCTCCTCTCTAAAAAGTATGTTTGAAAAGGAACGCCTCACAATAAACAGCCTTAATTTTTAAAAAGTACGTATCAGAAAAAGAAAATTCTTCTATATTTGCACTAAGGAGATAAAGAAATTTTTATTTTTTAAATATATCTTATTTATTTGACAGAGAGAGAGAGCACACAAGCAGGGGGAGCGGCAGGCAGAGGGAGAGGGAGAAGCAGGCTCCCTGCTGAGCAGGGAGCCCGACGTGGGGCTTGATCCCAGGACCCTGGCATCATGACCCTAGCCGAAGGCAGACACTTAACCGACTGAGCCACCCAGGTGCCCCAAGAAATTTTGATTTTTAATTGTAAGGTCGTAAACCTTAAAAATCAAGTTTATAACAAAAATGAAAAAAGGGAGGTTAAAAGTCAACAATTTAATTTCCATAATGCTTAGTGGCAAACAATTCTGTTATAAAAAGTTCATTATTGGGGCACCTGGGTAGCTCAGTCAGTTAAGTGTCTTTCTTTTGAACTTTTAAAGGCTCAGTTCATGGATCGAGTCCCGCATCGGGCTCCTTGCTCAGCAGAGAGCCTGCTTCTCCCTCTCCCTCTGCTGCTCCCCCTGCTTGTGCTCTCTCTCCCTCTGTCAAATAAATAAAATCTTTGGAAAATAAAAATAAAATTTTTTTTAAAATAAAAATAAAAAATATAAAGTTCATTACTGAGGCAGCTGGCCAGCTCAGTCAGTACAGTATACAACTCTTGATCTCAGGGTCGTGAGTTTGAGCCCCACATTGGGTGCAGAGATTACTTTAAAACCTTAAAAAAAAAGAAAGTTCATCATTCAACTTTTTAAAAACTTTATTAGATTGCAGAGTTGTCTTAGTTCTCAAAATTATTTTGACTTATTAGAAAGGTGCATAACTCTCATGACACTGCTAAATCAGACATGAAATCGTGAAATAATGGCCTAGTAGTTTAAAGGACTGATTCAAGAATTCAAAAGATCCGGATTCTGGTCTCAGCCTGCCAGGAAACCAGCTCTAGAGCCACTTAATGTACTACGTCTTAAGTTTCATCATGCAAAAAGTGAGAGTAATTAAAAGCCACCCTGCATAATTCTGAGGATAAAACAAGAGAACAAATCCTAATGTGCAAGATGTTACTTCATACTTTTAAAATCATTTTGCAAGATGACCATACTTTAACAACACAGCTGGAATGAAAGTGTCATTTTGCTTATTCCCCAAGGTAATTGAGTGAGGAGTGATCAGCTCTGTCACACTAAAATGGTGTGTGGGTAAGGTATAATGGAGGGATGTTCACGTCTAGACAATGTTGAAGACTTGAGTAGAGTTCTAGTCTAGGGGCCTAGGAGGCAGGCCTGTGAACTCCAAAGGATCTCTTCCTCCATGACCTGAAGTCTTGATTCTATCACAAAATACAGTCTGTAGAAAATTCTACACAACACAGTTGTTTTTTGTTTTTTGTTTTTTTTGCTTGGTGGTTTTTTCTTTTTTTAGATTTTTAAAATTTTTGAGGCACGTGGGTGGCTCAGTCAGTTAAGTATCTGCCTTTGGCTCAGGTCATGATCCCAGGGTCTTGCGATCGAGCCATGCATCAGGCTCCCTGCTCAGCGGGGAGCCTGCTTCTCCCTTTGCCTACTGCTGCCCATGCTTATGCTCTCTCTCACAAATAAATAAAATCTTAAAAAAAAAAAAAAGATTTTAAAAAATTTTTAAGTAATCTCCACACCCAATGTGGGGCTTGAACTCACAAGCTCAAGATCAAGAGTCACATGCTCTACTGACTGAGCCTGCCAGGTACCCCATGTAACATATTTAACAGGAATAAGACACAAGTGTATTATGAAATACTTACAAGAACTTCATAGTCAGGGATGGTATGGGTTCCAAGCCCTGCCCTATCAAAAGTTACTCTATAAGTAGCATTAAAAGTGTCCACAGCATCTATTTGTCCAGTGAAGAGACCATCATGAACACCACGTAATCGAGCTGGGAAAAAGAAACAAAAAGGCATTAAGATATTTGGAAGATATAACAAATTGTCAAAACTGCTCCAAGCATGTAATTTAAAATGTAGAAAGTATAGTATTATTGTTTATTCCAGTCTCAAAAAAAGGATGCACTTCATTTTAGGTTTAGAGAAACAACAAAATTTTTAAACTACAACTATAAATGATGATCGCGGGATGCTTGAATGGCTTAGTCGGTTAAGCCTCTGCCTTTGGCTCAGGTCATGATCCCAGGGTCCTGGGGTCGAGCCCCACGTCGGGCTCCCTGCTCAGCAGGGAGCCTGCTTCTCCCTCTCCCTCTCCCTCTCCTGCTCCCCCTGCTTGTGCTTGCTGCCAAATAAAGAAAATCTTTTAAAAAAAAATGATGATCGCTAATTTGATAAACGAATGAAATCATATATCTACCAGGGGAAAATTTATTTTTTAAAGATTTTATTTATTTATTTGAGAGAGAGAGAGAGAGAGCGCGCACAAGCAGGGGGGAGTGGCAGAGGGAGAAGAAGACTTCCAGCTAAGCAGGGAGCCTGACATGGGACTCAATCCCAGGACTGTGGGATCATGACCTGAGCTGAAGGCAGACACTTAACTGACTGAGCCACATAGGCAACCAAGGGGAAAATATTTTTAAATCATTGCTTTAAACCCCAAATTGAAAAAGTCAACAGAAGAATTTTGGTTATTATACTCAAGTGAAACATTAGGAGCAGTTCAACTACCAAAAAAAGACCAGGATGATGTTCAGAAAAGATTAATACAGCAGGCCTAAGACTGCGATCCTTAGAAAGTCCTGCCCACAAGGACTTTCAAAGCAACTATCAAAAGAATTTCAGGAGTGCTCCCATTGTTCCCATACTAACAGAGGTGATGTACTGCACCTGGACTGTGATTGTCGAAGACAACCAATTCGGGGTTCTGGAAATGGACCAAATGCAAAAAACAATTATGAAACATTAACTTTTGGGGCGCCTGGGTGGCTCAGTTGGTTGGGCGTCTGACTCTTGATTTCGGCTCAGGCCATGACCTCAGGGTTGTGGGATCAAGCTCTGCGTCGGGCTCCATGCTCAGCATGGAGTCTACTTCTCTCCCTCTGCCCCTCCCCTCACGCTCTCCCTCAAATAAATAAGTAAATATTTAAAGAAAAAATATTTACTGTTAAAAACCTGCTAAAGCTTCAGGTAAGGACAAGGGAAGTCAGTGGCCTTTTGCATGAGGCCATTTACACCCCCACCATCACCACTACCTTGGTTGGTAAGAATTGTTTTACTAGTGAACGGCTGGTCATGAAACAGGAGTGTGACTGCCAGAGGCAGCAGACTCAAGGTGGACCAACAGGTAAAACCTGTGACCCTGCCAGTTAAAAGTGGTAGACTTGATCAGGAGCGAATAAGAGAAGCCCATGGTTTTGTAAGCCCAAAGTGTAGTCCTAGCTAAGGTGAGTGGCAGAACAGGGAGATCCTGGAAACTAAAGAGCCATAAAGGGCTGAAAGCTCTCCATAAATCTCTAGCTAACTGGAAAACTATGTGAATGGGTAGAGAAGACGTAAGCAAGCCTGGCAAAAAGTAAAAGCTAAGGTTCACTTGAAAACTGACACCAACTTTGTATTTCCCAACTCACACAAGGATTAATCTGAGGCCTTTCTTATTAAGATGCTTGAGTACAACCTCTGCCGAAGTCACTGGTTGATCACTAAGTTATACAGACACAGGTGCAACTCCTAGGAAGCCAAGCTTAAAAATATAAGAATAAAAAAAAAATGAGCAGAGACATCAGTGGTTGCACAAGACAAGTTACTGAAGCAAACACAACTATCAAAAAAATTAGAAGGCAGAGTTACTACGATTGTTATCTAAAATGTCAAGTTTTCTACCAAAAATTACTAGACATGTAATGAAATAAAAAGGCATGACTCTTACTCAGGATAAAAGAGGTATTAAGCAGAAATTGACAGAAATGATAGATTAGCAAAGACGTCAGAAGTAGATACTATAAATATGTTCAGAGAATTAAAAGAAAGATGACAATACTTGATAGGATATCTCAACAAACAGAACCTACAAAAGAAAAACTCTAGAGGTAAAGAGCAAATTTGAGATAGCAGAAGAATCACCGAACATTTCAAATAATGTATTTTAGAAGTCTGGATTGTGATCTATTAAGAAGAGACCAACAGAAATTATTCAATCCAAAGAACAGAGAGAAAAAAATACTGGAAGAAAAAGAAGAGAGACACCTATGGGAAGATATCACATTACCAACGTATTTGTAATGAAAGTCCCAAAAGACAGAAAGCAGAAAAAATATTTGAAGAATTAGTGGTAAAAAAATCTCCCACATTTGATTTAAAAATTAACCTACCAATCCAAGAAGCTTTGAACGTTCAAGGAGCTCAATGAAATACAAAGAGGATCATACCTAAAACACCATAGTGAAATTTCCAAAATCCAAGGACAGAGAGAAAATATTGAAAGCATCAAGAGAAAAATAACATATAGAAGAACAGCAACACAATAGGTACATCTCATCAGAAACAAGGAACGTCAGAGCGCAGTGTAGAAGATATGAGCAAAACTCTCAACCCTATGTCTAACTAACATATATGGAACACTCGACCCAACATTGAAACATTCCTCTGAAACACATATGGGACATTCTGTAAGACAGACCATCTGCTAGGCTATAAAGCAAGTCTCAATAACTTTATTTTTTTAAAGATTTTATTTATTTGTCAGAGACAGAGAGAGAGAGCACAAGCAGGGGGAGTGGCAGGCATAGGGAGAAGCAGGCTCCCCGCTGAGCAGGAAGCCTGATGCGGGACTCGATCCCAGGACCCTGAGATCATGACCCGAGCCAAAGGCAGACACTTAATCAACTCAGCCACCCAGGCATCCCTAAGTCTCAATAACTTTAAAAGAACTGAAATCATACAAAGTACATTCTCAAACCACAACAAAATTATGTTAGAAATCAGTGAGTCGTCACCAAAAAGCCCTTAGGCTTGGGTATGTAAAATAATCTGAGAGAATACTTGTAAAATGAAAAATGTAAGAATTTGAATATAAAGCAACCATATTTTTCTCAAGGGAAAATTGGGAGGGAGGACAAGCTTATATTTTGGCATATATTGTAGGACTAAATACACCAAACTTTAGAGAAATATAAAACTGGGGGAAGAGGGTATCACTTCTGGGGATTTTTTTTTTTTGAGTATGTATTACTTTCATAAATCAAGAAAAAAGATATTGCCACATTTTTAATTTTTATCTGAAGATAATATTTATTTTATTTTTTTAAGACTTTATTTATTTATCTGAGAGAGACAGAGATAGCAAGAGACAGCACGAGCAGGGAGGAAAGGGAGAAGCAGACTCCCCACTGAGCAGGGAGCCCAATGCGGGGCTCGATCCCAGGATCCTGAGATCATGACCTGAGCCTAAAGCAGATGCTTAACCAACTGAGCCACCCAGGTGCCCTGCAGATGAAATTTATGCCCCTCTTCCACAGACCTACATCTGAAGTACAAGTCAGGTTCCCCTATTATTACAGGAGTATCTATCTGTTCAAGCAATGGATAACTTCTATTCAGTTCTACTTAACTCGTTCAAAAACTTTAAAAAATATTTTGGTTTAAACTTCTTTGTCTCGGGGTGCCTGGGTGGCTCAGATGGTTAAGCGTCTGCCTTCGGCTCAGGTCATGATCTCAGGGTCCCAGGATTGAGCCCCGCGTCAGGCTCCCTGCTCCGTGGGAAGCCTGCTTCTCCCTCTCCCGCTCCCCTTGCTTGTGTTCCCTCTCTTGCTATCTTTCTGTCAAACAAATAAATAAAATCTTTAAGAATAATAAAATAAAATAAAATTCATTTTGTCAGTGTTTCGGGGGAAGAATTGGTCTACTAGTACTTGTTTACTAAAAAATTTTTCACAGTAAGGAATGTGGAATTTTGTTTACAGCACTTTTTTTTAGGTAAAATTTACATATGGTGAAATCTAAATGTAAGTGTATAATTCTATAAATTATGGCAAATATCCATGTAAAACAAATCTTTATCAAGTCACAAAATATTCCTATCATTCCAGAAAGCTCCCCCTTCCCAATCAATCCCCTCTTCAGCAGAACCACTTTTCTGATATTTTTCTGCCATGAATTAATTTTGCTCGTTCTACAACTTCATAGAAATGAAAACCTAACGATATGCATTCTATAGCTTTCAGCTTTTGCTCAGCATATTGTCTGAAGCTAATCTATATGTCAGTAGTTTCTTTTAATTGCTAATTTGTATTCCATCATAAGAAAATATTATGTCTATCCATTTTCCTGTTGATTCCAGGTTTTGGCTTTAAAATTATGAACATTCTAGTACATAGCTATCCTTCCGGGACAGCTGTTTTCACTTCTCTTAAGGAAATACTTTGGAGGAGAAGAGCTGGATCATAGGGCAGGCATAAGTTTAGTTTTGTAAAACACCGGCACACTTTTCTCCAAAGTAGTAGACCATTTCACAATGCCATCAAAAGAGTCCAGGAATTATGGTAGCTCCACATCCTCGACAACACTTGGTGTTATGAGTTGTTTCAGGGTTAGCTGTTCTGGGGTGTGTGCAGTGCTACTTCACTGTGCTTTTAATTTGCATTTTCCTGATGACGCTGAGTACTTATGTGCTTATTCGCCATTCATATATCTTCCTTTGGGAAGTGTCTACCCAAGTGTTTTATCTAGTTATTTGAACCAGACTATCTTTTTATTACTAACTTACAGAGTTCTTTACATTTTCTAGATACAGGTCTTTTTTCAGATATACATTTTGGAAATATTTATTCCCAATATGTGGCCTATTTATTTCCTTAATGGTCACTTTTTTTTTTTAGATTTTTTAAAAAATTTATTTATTTGAAAGAGAATGAGAAAGAGAGAGAGAGCACATGAGAGGGGGAGGGTCAGAGGGAGAAGGAGACTTCCCGCTGAGCAGGGAGCCCGATGCGGGACT